GCCGGCCTGCGGCCATGACTCACATAGCGTGCACTTCTCGTCTCCACAACAACTACAAAAGTGGCGAGCTCAAAAACAACCCATGAATGCGAACCACCGTTCCCACGACTTAGCGGTGATAGACAGAATACCGTCCTTTGTTTGCCGCACTTCTTGTCCAATAAATTGAATGCTTGTGGCCGGAGTGAGGGGGGGCGAGGGTGGAGTTGGCAAAAATGGGCTAGACCCTGTCTCCAAAAGTCATATAAAAAGGCTCGCGAGACCGCTTCAAAGACAACACGGAAGACGGCGTTGAATTTCAACCAACATGTTGATCCTCATTCTCATTTCTTCGGCTGCAGTGGGTATTTTGAGAGCAGCGGAAGGTATGTGAGCATTTACACTTATTCTCCAGTCAAACTGAATTTTATTATCAAACTTACTTACCCTTCCTGTGAAATATGCCACCACTGCTAGCGAGCAGCGAAAGTAAATGATTAACTTGATGGTGGTTATTGCAGCAAAACACACGCAGTAGCATTCAGCGTATTTGCTACCTCCTAAAATATCTATGAATCTTCTGACATGAGTTTATTAATTAAAAACATAACTCCATTTTATTTATTAGATTAAAAATTCTGTAGATGCATTGCAAGATTTGCCGTAATGTCAGGTTCCCAGATTTTGTCGAAGCCTTTTTCCAGCAATTTGCAAAAAAAAGTATCCTTTGATATTTGACACTTTTATACGCCATGTGTGTTGTATCGAAAATCTGGTAATTGGGTAGTACAGTGCTTCATTGATTAAATATTGGGAAGTTAAATGCAGGCGTATAGCCTGAGTGAGGAAATCATTCTAATGAGAGAATTCTTGAAGAACATAAAGTATCAATTCGCCAAGACTGGTTCGCTAGTAATAGCGCTTTTGAACTATATATATATATATATCGCGTAAGTTCATGGCCATAATTTAACAATATTAGCTTTTTCGTTGATGAACCGTGCTAAATATTTGGTTAGTAAAATCTAAACGTCCACTTAATACAGACAGAGATTTAGATTCTTAGACAGTAGCGGCAATAAGTAAATAAAACTCGGTAAAATGTTCTGTTCAAATACGATCTCTAAAGAATATGCAATGTTCTACGACTGAGGTACATACATTATGATAAATGTATATTTATTAAATATGTGTAACCGTCCAATGATATTTAGGTTAATTAACGTTTAATGACAGGGCTGTCTTTCATAAACTCGTATGGGTGTCAATATCTCCTGACCTTAGCTAGCGAGATAACAAGCTCATTGGCCGATGTTTAGGGTGTTTGACTCTGACCAAAAAGGTCGTGATTTAGAGGCTCCGGTTGAGCACCAGATGAGTTTGGTTAAGACTGGCTGGCGACGGCTAAAAAGCCAGAAACGGCCACTCCAGTCCCCTTTTTCTATCTGCCTGCTGATGCTAACCGTTAGACTATCAGGGCCTCTGTCAAGACCCAAGGCGGACCGGGACAGACGAATTCCGTTGGCGGTCGGGTGAACGTTCATAAGTTATTGTCCAAGAGGTCAGGTGAACATTTATCAATGAGTGTCAATCTCCCCGGACATAAACAGGCAAGACAACGAGCTTGTGGCTCAATAGTCAGAGCGTTAGAGTATGATAAAATGGATCGCGAGTTCAAGCCTTGTGAATTGTGAATTCAAAAATAACTCTATTTCATTCAAATTGAATTTAAATCAATTTATTGTATACAATCTTTAACATACCATCTTGTGTGTACTGAAAGAAATTGCCTTCCATCACCTTCCTTATTTCGAGATTGCAAATGCTACATGATAGTTCAGATTGCTCTTTCAATTCTGCCTAACACTTTACAAATCTCGGTGTTTTCATTCGCTTGTACCGATGTTTATCTAATTGTTTGCCAAAAGCCTCAAAGCCAGATATTGTTTCAAAGAATTTACCTATCGTCTTCATCACCCCCCAAAGAAGACGAAGAAGAAGAAGGTTCAAGGACATGGACCGAGTTATA